CGTAATCTAGATGTGTACTGGTTCCGCCGCAGGGTATACATGTGCCACCGCGGATTTTAATCTGTGCTGAAAACCTGGCGTTCGTCCTCGCCCTTTAATGTCATTTGTAGCATTACCTTCATCTTCGGTACCGTGGGCACACATTTTTTCCTTTCTTCGGCCCTAACCTGAGCATTGAAATTCGGTGGGTACCTATTGTCTATTAGGGTGCTGGTTATCAGGCGCACCTCTTGGTCCAGCGTGTCAGCAGTGCATATTTTTCTAGCTCTGTTGATGTAGGTCTTCACTAGACCCTGTTTTAATGCTTGGGGACAAAGCTGTAGAAATTCGAGTACTGTCCCTTCCACGTTGGCGTTCGGTAAACTGATCTGCGTACGGACCGTCAATTTTTCGGTCTATCAGGATTTTAAGAAGCGGCAGCGTATCAAGCTGTTCGCGCTCCGTTGTCACTCTAATGTTTTGATGTAAGCCATTCAAGTTTGCAACCAGTTGGGCCAAATGATACTCTCTGTCACGGATTAACAAAATGTCGTCTTTGATATCTACGGAGCAACACTATTTCATAGACCTCGTCCCTGACTTGATTCTTGAGATAGGCGACGAAAATGTCTGCTACGTGGGCATGACAGAAAGACAATTGAGGGTGCGGGTGAGGGGTACATACCGGCGTGGGTAAGTAAACATATTTCGCAGATGGCCACTTCCACAATCTCGGATGCGCAGCCAATGAAGCGAATTGAAGTTCCATACATACAACCAGCTTCATCAATCGCCTGCCACCTGCTGGCTGATAACCACTGTGTAGAGCCCGTGCGTGCGTTCCGTGTTATCTATGCATCAATGAACCCCTAACTTTATGATATGCTGAGGCCGTGGCTATCGAACAACTTGGCCCAACTCTGTGTGTGCAGCAAGACGCATTTGTGACCCTGACCCTGCCATGGTAGCAAACCGGGACCAGATAACAAAATGATATGGATGTAGGTGTGTTCAGTTTGGTCAATTTGCCATGTTAGTTGAGCATCTTTCATGATGCTATAAATGCACACGTCTGTAGTATGCACTTGAAGAGATGCAGAGAAAATTTTCCGGAATGAAATTTTGCGGAACTTGTGTCTTACTATTTTGCTTAAAGTTTCCTCTAGAACTAATTGTTTCCAGTTGAGTATCGTCAACATGTCTCGAGGAAGACCACCGGCCCATAAAGATGACAAGCAATTAAGGACGACTGTGGAATCCGATCCAGACACAACTACTCGTGAACTTGGTTGTAAACTCGGAAACAGCCATACGGCTATGTTAAAACATCTGCGTGCAAGAAGTACAGTAAAAATATGGATTCATATGGGCCGTACGAACTGATGCCATTGCAACTGATCGACCGCAAGAGCAAGTGCGCATCTTTGTTGAGAAACATAGCCGATGGTGCATAACTTGCTGCTGTTGTTCCTGATACAGAATGTGGGTTTATCTCCGTAATTCAGTCTGGATGGACAACCAATTCTTTCACTTACGAACTTCTTGTTCCACGCGAAAGCGAAGATGTGGAATTGAGATCCTTGTTCTTGCCACTACTAAAAGCATGGTATAACTACCTTGTTTAGTGCAGTTATTGGAACTGCCCTTCTTGAATAATGCCACTGTGACAGATTTGCCTTAGCTGGTTGGGACGATATTTTTAAAATTTCCGTTTCAACAATTAGGCTCATCTTTTGCACAAACCTTATTGCCATTACTGGCGCGGAACCAACTGGTTTGTTGATTGCTTTCCACCTGTAAGTTCAGATTACTCCAGATTAATAGACCAGCGCTCATCTTGATCCGACTGGGGGCGTAGTGTTTGGACACGAGAAGCCAACTGGATTGTTTCTGAAACCACTCTACCAAACGAGTGATATGAAGTCCCTTGCTAACAGCACTGTTTCTGATGATGCCATTAAATGTCTTGAACCGAAGGCATGGGCTGGAGATATTAGGCGTCTTGAGATCTCTGAGCATCGTTACAAACGAGGCATTGCTCGTACTGGGTGAGATCAATGTGTCCGTGACGATGAGCTTCGTATCCGGGCACTAAGTTAAACTGGTCAAGTTGGTTAACTAGCTATGCGAGTAAGACCGAAGCAGTTGCTTTTGTTCGCACTTGTGCAACGTACATCCGCCCACCTACTTGAAGAGCTTTGATTTGTGTACTAACCGTTGGACGTGACAGGGTCCAAGAGTGGTGGCCAATCGTCTAGCAGCAGGAGTTTACGTTGCTGAGCATTGGATTGAATGCCGTTGTTCCAGGCCGGAGTCCGTGCGACCCACTGCTTGCTTATCGCGCAGACGGCACCAATGGTGCATTTTTATTATTCTTCTAATGTATTTTTCTAATTTCAGTGTGCATTGCGCTCTATTCTTGAGTATACTTCGAGTGGTTGAGAACTGCCAGCTGTCTGTGTCACTAGTGCCTCGTATTCGCACGATAGCTTTCTATTTGCGTCCGTGCGTTGTTTACAGCGTCTTGATCTAGGAGCTTTGTTCGGAGCATCTTGGTCGTACGTCACTCTTCTCTGCCTTCCTTAGTCCTTCTCGTTGATGTGTTTCGTACTATTCGTTTGTATGATAGTGTAGTATTTGCACAATATACTGTGATACTGTTGTTATTGCTGCTGCGGGTGGTGGTGATGGTGCTGATTTTTAAGACGATATCCGTTTTGTTCCTCTGACTCTGAGCTGTCGCCTCATGGTTTTGAAGCACTTTCTTTCGCTGTGTGGCCTGAACCACTATCCATTATGTTAATCACAGAGTCGATTGCCTCGTTGGTGATGCATCCTTTTTGTTCACTTCTGAGTCGAGCATTTTTGCGTGTGTTCCCATGCATAACCTTATGACTCATTGGTGCCCCGCAGAGAACCTGTAGGAACAGTCTCTCAGGACACTGTTAACCGTCATTTCCCCTATAGTGACAGCTTACTCTGGTGTCTTGTTTGCCTTCGTCTTTAGCAAATTGGCTCCTGCTGTACTGAAAACGGGTACCCTTGCACTGATTGAGCCGTTTGTACAGTCCCACTCTCCAGACGTGTTCGCCCGAGAGCAGTTGGTGCTCGGCTTTTCACGCACGTGTGGTCCATTGGATGCGCCGCTCAACTCAGGGCATTCTCCAATATGCTCCAAATGTCATATGAAAACTTCACGCACCTGGATGGAGTGTTTGCTTCCTGCATTGTCAAGTGAAATTCCCGAGGCACGCGTTTTTGCATCTTTTCATATCGCCACCGAAGCAACTCTACACTCAGATGAAGGGCATATCGAAGCAAGTGCTTCAATTTTGCAATATATGAGTCATATGTGTGTACCTAAATATTTATACTGGTGGCCTCAACTGTGACGCAACAGTTTTCCAGCTTTGTGCGATCTCGTAGTTTATCCGATTGAACTGTGCTTCGTCCCACTTCAGCAACTTCATTAATGTGGATCATATTTCTTTTGTTTTGGAATTGGCTGTTTTCTCTAGAAACTATGACTCAGAATCACTTGTGCCAACGGCATTACACATTCCAACATTTTAGGAATTGTTTAAAAGAATTCTGAACCGGTAGTACATACTCTTTCTCGAGGCGCAGTTCGTGTTTGGTGCCTCAGGCACCACATTTGGACGCGAGCTCAGTCGACTTGGTTGGTCGTATCTTTAAGGTAACCAATGTAAACAGTAGACTACAAGCCCTTTCGCTATTCCATCGGCTTAAATGCTTCCACCTGTTATGTCAACAAAGTGTAACTGCACAACTATAGTTTTAGGACTACTGTCTGTTATATTGCTCGTGTCAGCTGAATCTGGCCAATGAAGAGTTCAAAGCCTTTGTTCTACTAGCCGCGGACAATCTATCCTTTGCAAGGTAGATTCCGAATCCATCTCCCGGTCATTTGCAATGCTGAGTACAGCGACGGTGTCATATTTTGTCACCATGGTAACTAATGCTATTCAGACAGATGTGAACAGTGCATTCGTCACCCTCAACTCATCCATCGTATACCCTTCTTACATGCATCATAGTACGAAAACTGGCCACCACCATTCAACAGCAAAAGTTGGTGCTGGGTCCTAGACAGCTTTTTTGCGGCCCTCTTTCATTAAGCATATCATTGAAATTTTACAAATCCTATTGCACACTAATTTTTTTTACCAGGCCTTTCAGATTCGTAGCTGCGTTGATCCAGCGGGCGGCCAAAAGCGTTCACACATAGACATTATGCAACTTATTTTTGCTGGAGATAATGGCACCGGTGAGGGTTGTAGACATCTGTTTGACATCAGGAAGCTGCATCATCCACCTCACCACCTAGCGTTCCTTTAGTGTGCAGTGTAAGGCAACCGCAACTTTCCTGTCAACTTCCATTGATCTTTATACTTCAGTACTTCAGTATTACCTGCTAGAATAGTATTTTTGGCGCCATACGGTTGTGTGAGTTGTACCTCGGAGAAAGCTGTAGATCTGCATTTGCTCAATATGAAAAACCGTCATCCTTACCGAAATCTTCTGGCAAAATTTCCACAAAGGTGGCTGATCACCAACACTTTGCTTTCGAGGAACCTTGCATAGGGTTTTTCTGGATTTTCGGCACATACGCCAAGCAAATCGATTGAAGTACTCGTCGCTCTTCTCCTAATGTGTCACTGTTCCGTCGGCTTATTCAAGCTTTGCTTATAGATGTACTCTGGGACTGCCTTGGCTACTTACATTACAGTTGTGGTGACCGCTTTCCTGAGTCCTCCCATTTGTACAGTCTTTTCTATGAAGTCGGTATTGACGTCTCAACCGTTACTATCTATCGGACCTACCCGGCTTATTCCTTTGTTACACCAGTTCCGTCCCAACTTAGCATGCTGTGGAGTTCTATGGGGACAGAAGAGTATATTACTTGCTCCCATGTGTAGCATCCAATACTACAAGTGTGGTTGATTATGCACGTTGATCTGTTTTCTCCTATCATACTCTTCCAGATTTCTAACCACCGTTCCATTTTTCATGGCAGGTGATCAAATCACTCCACCTAACCGATAAACTGGTTCAGGCTGCTTGCAGCAGAAATGTATGGGAATCCAGACTTGGACTGTTCACTTTGACTCTGCTCGGAAAAGACATGCCGCTAACTCCTCATGTTCCACTTTGGGCAACAGAAGATGTGAAGCGCTGGTTGGAACACGTGAGTTAAGTTCCAGTATTTTCCAGCGTAATGCAGCCAAGTGTCTGTTACTTCAACACTCTTCTCTCATTGTTTACTGAGTGCACTACACTTGTAACGGTGCACCGTTCACGGGTTAAATGTGTGGGAATTCCAATGAACTTGCAAATGTCATTACAGCCAGACCTGCTCAGACACCTCACAATACTCCATAAGCACTGAACCTTCATTCCATCCAGTAGCTCCAATTTAGGCAGTTTGGTGCGGGGCTCAAACCTGCCTTCCTACCTCGACAGCTAGCGATCTAAACGCCTTAGACCTCTCGATGACACTGGGCGATTATAGCACGACCTATCCTCCATTGCCGCAAAAATGTCACCGTTCAGAGGACTGCACTTATTTCTGGTGAATTACACTTTGATCTTTTTAGCCCTTCAAAATACAACTTATATCCTAACTCTTAACAAACTTCCACTGAAAATGGTCCATGATTTACTTATTCTGGCGAGTTTGTTAACGGGTGATAAGACCACCAAGGTCATCAGGCTTGTACCGGAATACTTTTTATCTTTGCTTAGTAAAATAGTATCGAAAGTGAGGTAAGGAGTGTTGGTAAGTTGACAATGTTGACATCATTCCTTAGTCCCATACCATTCTATGCGACTGGTTTAACATCGTTGTCTACTCTTGGTTATGGCCTGTGTACCACGGATACGGATTGTATTTTCTAAACAGAGTACCGTCAATGTGCCTCCGTAAACTGGTCAGCAATTACATGTTATCCTTCTCCGTTTGACAGATTATGCATCGTAATACGTTAGCCTCGACTGAGTGGACTACACAGTTCGCACTTTCAACGAGTGGCATACTTTCACTGGGAAGACTAGTTTAATTTAGTTTGGTTGTTCCCAGCTGCAACCTCCGTCCCGTGTCGTTCAAAAGTCGAATAGTAGATAAGTGCAGAGTTCAGAAGATCGCTGTAACATTCCTGTATCCAGTCTCCCATCGATGCGAACACGATTGTAGTTCAGACTCAGGTTCTTGACCAAAATCGCATTCTTTTTCTCTGTACAGAACTCACTTTTATTTCTGAGCTCCAAGTTTCTTCTAACTTGCAGTTCAGTTCACAAGCAGAACTTGCTCGGCTCCTCTGTGCTTCACATGCAGCTCCCTCGATTATCTATCGGGAAATAACAGCTTTATAAATATACTAAAGTTCTGCACTCGGATTTCGCTCACTCCGGTGTGGTGGCGACACTTTCAATGGTGTCACTTTTAATACTACTACTACTAATGATAATAATAATAATATTTTTAACCTGCTAAGATAATGTGGTATCCCAGGTTAAACAATTGGTAGCCAAGCGCCTGGAAGAACTGTTTTATGTTAGGAAACCGAATATTATTATCATTCAGCACTTCATACTAAGCAATAAACTGCATCCCCGTCCATAATGCAGTAGTACTTTTTAAACTTTTAGTTGCAGGCGCAGCACGAATGTCTACATTTGCTAGACTAGTCACTCCGCTTGCCGATTTTGTACCCCATATCGCCTTCGGGTCTCTTTTTCGATTTATTTAGTTTACAGCCGTATCTCGGTCAGTCTATACTTTCTACTCCTCTAAGCGGCACAATAGCTGAGGCGTTCTCCACCTCTGCCTAACGCGTATAATGATGATGATTCCCCTCCTCTTTGTCGTTTATGGTTGACTTTGATACACCCTCTCCAGCTCTGGCAACTGCTTTTCGAATAGCACAAGGTTTGGATGAGGATGGTTGGATTTGACTAAGGAGAAGAATATAAGTAACTAACCAAATGTTCTCTTGCCATCAGTGCTGCTGACCTATGAATGTCGTAAATCATATCGGGCTATTATTCGCAATCCTTGCTTATCCGAGCTTTCAGCCCTATCTTCGTGAGCCACTCTATTGGGTTTAACACATGTATTACTGAAGTATACTGTTGTATTATTATCCTATCTTTGCGTTCCTTTGCCGCAATTAGTAAGTTCTGTGTTGGATTTACTGCTGTTCGTCATCAACACTAAATCACCATCCTTTGATGCTCGGTGGCTACACATGTTTTGACATGATATGAGATGCATACTAGGCTTGAGAGCACGAAGAGTCGGGACGCCCCTCGTCATTTAATGACCTCACATATAGAGGGGATCAAGGCGCGAAGAACTGTCTATGCATAAACTCTTTTAACCACGAGTCTAGAGTTAATTGGAATATGCCCTGCGTGCTATCGAAGGATTTTTTGAGTCTCTTAGAGGCACCTCCTACATGACTTAGTTATAGTAAAGCAACTAGTTTAGAAGAAAGACAGCGAATATTCCTGGCTGTTTCAACCCGGACTTGGTCTATGAACTCCTGTCTCGCACTTTCAAATGTGTCATTGAAATGACCACGCTCTGCGAACGTTGCTTATACCGAATGTTTATTTAACATCATATTTGGACTCGAACTCTTGGAATACACTTGGAACCGATCATGGTTTCGGAGAGATTTGTGGACTATTGGTGGGTTTACTTGGTTGGCAACATTTCACTTTTGGTACGAAAGCTTCCTAAGGCCAGGTACATTGGTACATAGTTGGTGTGGTATTTGTGTCTGTAAGAGTCTCTTGACGCATATCTCAGTTGTCACGATTATCTCCCTCAACTGCCATAAAATGCCACACCAGCCATGTACCAATTCACCTGGCCTGACGAAGCTTTTGTGTCAAAAACGAAACCTTGCCAACTACATAACCTAATCGATCATCCACAAATCTCTGAAATCATATTTGAACTCCTTCTAGTTAATTGGTGCTCAGACATATCACGTCATCTTGAACGTCGTCTACCAGAAGGAGAGATGAACTCACATTCTTATGAACCTTCAAGAACACGGCGCTAACGACCCTGTTGCTGTGGCCATATTCCAAGTTCGACCGAAGTTTGTCTCGATGTTTGAGCAATCAATTGAGTCTGAGTTCACGATAGCTCCACTTCGATCGGTTTACAGCTTAACATATGAAGACAAAGTTGTTTCCCTTACTGAACGATTTTCCAGTATGGTGCGTTCACCTTTTCGCCTTCTGTCATAGGCCAAACTAAGCCATCAACAAACGCAGCAAATAAAATCTCCAGGACACATGTCATTTACCCGGTTGTTGTTACTCGCAGTATGGATCTGAATGGTTTATGCATTTGTACTCCAACAATAGCTCCACAAAATGCCTAAAGTTGCTAATTCATTCATATCTTTCCTCCCCACCCAAATTTTCTTACAGAACAAATTAGGACAGTTAGTCGAGCTTTTCGAAAGTAACAGGATCGATGGGGAGCTCCTTCTATCCTTAGGAGAAGCCGAACTGGAACAAGATTTAGGTATTACAAACAAGATCGTCATAAGGACGTGAGTTAAGCTTGTTTTCAATATTGGTATCGCTTGTGTTTTTCAACTCATCACGCCTTTTTTCTCCTTTGTTCGACCCGATCTTTGAATACCATCGAGCCTGTCAAGACATTTGACCCTTGTCTAGTGATCTTATGTACTCCTGTCCTATCTTCCGTATGGTCCATAATCTGAGTGTTTTCGCTAACTGGTTGCACCGTCTGTTGCCTCGGTAGCCTGAATCGAGGTCGCGCATAGTTTAATTTTGTTGCAATTTGCATGCCGCTGAACGGTTTACCCGACCGGAAGACCTAGGTTCTGAACACCGTGTATTTCCTTGACACAACTTTATGCACTATGTCTGAGGAGCCACACTCTATTTCTCTCTTTCACTCGGTAGTACTGATGGTGTCCACTTAATTTCTGCGTTCAGACGTTGTTTGGTAGGTACTCGTCAAAATAGTCTACGTATAACCCCATCGGTGGTCTGTTCCTCACGCGATATAATATGCCGTTTAGCCGTTACACCACGGATACAAGTGAGCGACTGTCGGCTCAAGATGTTCACACAGCTATCTCATTTAGTAAACTATGTAGGTACACTTGCTGTCAAATCTTAAGCGTGATTGCTTTTGACAAAGTTGAATGATTACTTACCC